CAGATAATTAATCAATTTAAGTGATAATCACTCTTATCGTTATGTAATAAATTTAATATATCAGATCAATTTAGTGACGTAACTGATGCAATTAATAAATGGATATTTAATTAATAGTTTAAGTATAGTGATAACAAATTATGATGATATTTCAAAGAATAAGAGAAATTTAACAGATTTTTTAATATAATGGTTATTATGCAGTTTTTTTTTATTAAGTAAATAAATAAATTATAACAACAAAATCATTCAACACTTGAAAAATCAATTCTACTATTCAACCATGTAAGACATTAAAGACTGTAGGCTTTATTTAAAGGCTCGAAGCCCTGATTTTATACTTTACGAATCATTAAAAAGTATGATAATCAAACATTTGATTTTTGAAACTAGTAGTTTCGCTCATTAATACTATTGCTACTTAGTTTCAGTGATCCACGGTTTCGTTACTAAAGACTATTACAGAATCTTGGTATGATGATACTAATTCGGCTACAATCTTCGATTACAAAAGGGTAAGTATATAGAAAATTATATTTACAAAATATAGGGCTTGTACTGATTCTAAGTTTTACACAGCCCAACACCTTCCTCATGTTACTACTGTAACAATACCAAATACTGTAGTTTTTTATATACGTAATAATTTAATTAATATGTAATTTAAATTATTAGATTGTAATCACATTTTTCTGCTACCACTAAACTATCTTGTTTTCTTTTTGTAATGATTTGGCAGTCACATGAGTTGCCTTGATCGTAATAATATAAGTTTTTCTTTAATATATGAGCGCCATCAAAGGAGAACCTGCCATCGGGCCTTCAATTATATTTTGTAACAGACATAATTTGAGATTTTGTCTGACATAAATATAATGACAGATTTTTCCTTGACAATACTCATGTAAAAAGAAATTATGTAATAAAAGTTAGATAGCATAATTATTTGTTATGTATTCATTTGAGAAATTGATATAAAGTTTGAATATTAATGTAAATTCTTTTTATTTTGTTCTGCTTATCAACTTATTTCAAAAATAGTTGAATAGACTGACAAACAAATTCAAATGTTAATCGATGAAAGAAGATCAAGAAATATTGAGTACCACAATATAACTTCTCGAAGTCACATAGATTTTTGAAAGAGCATTGTGAATAATATAAATAAACAACATAATACAAAATTCAACAGATATCAGTGTAAAGGCAAATTTATGAACCTTGTGAGTGACTATAATGTAAATATATAAATCAGTTTTTTTTTATATTATTACTATAATATATATCCTTTTTTTTCTTTTTTTTTGTTAGGCTGTATGCAATTATATGTCAGGAAACCGTGATAGAAAAAGAAGTAGAGCAGGTGAGTGTTATTTTGATGAGTTTTATACTAAATTTTGGGAAAGACCTAGTAAGTTTCTGAAATCTAAAGTTATATACATATAATTTAATTATATTTCTAAACTCAATAATTATTTTTTTAGTTACACAATTTGATAAAATCAGAAACACAAATTTAGAAATTTAAAGAAGACGTGAGAGTCATATAAATCATACTCCACCTCCTTCATACAAAGAAGTAACTGCTATGCTAAGCCATCTTAATAGGGGAAGGAAACGATCCTCAGTACCTAATACTAATAGCAATACTAATAGAGAAAGGGAACGATCTCCGGTACCTAATGTTAATAGGAATAGGTCTGTTGCTATGTAATGCATGTGAAATGCATTAATATATTAATGTAAACAAAATATGCTGCTTATTTGCGTAAAAATAAATTTACTTACTTTCATATAATATAATAACATGCTCTTTGTAATAATGTATAAATAAATTTGGAGTTGTATTATAATTGCTTAATGTTAAGGTTTAGTAGACCTGAAGTAAAAAGGTGGCATCCATAGGGTGTTTGACTGACTAATTGTGACAAAGATATGTAAAGACCCCTAATTAAACTAATTATAACAGTTTTTTATATGATTGTATTGTTATATAAACAGATACCACTTTTTAATATGAATTTATTATATGAATGTCAAATCTAACTTTTCTTTCATTATTAGTTATTTAAATATAAAAGTAATAAAAAATAGATTAAAAAGGTATGCTTTTAAATTTGTTATGTAGGTTTTTTGGGGAACTTAAAATTGATTTTTTTTCTAATATTTCTTAGCTATTTATATAACTTAAAAGAATAAATTTGTAAATAACTTG